TACTGGGATGTGTTTATTCAGCAGCTTAAGGGTCACTCACTGTGTAATTGTACTGGGATGTGTTTATTCGGCAGGGTGAGGGTCACTGAGAGTGTAACTGTATTGGGATGTGTTTATTCAGCAGGGTGAGGGTCACTCACTTTGTAACTTTGCTGGGATGTGTTTATTCAGCAGGGTGAGGGTCACTGAGAGTGTAACTGTACTGGGATGTGTTTATTCAGCAGGGTGAGGGTCACTCACTGTGTAAGTGTACAGGGATGTGTTTAATCAGCTGGGGTAGGGTCACTGACTGTGTTACTGGACTGGGATGTGTTTATTCAGCAGGGTGAGGGTCACTCACTGTGTAACTGCACTAGGAAGTTTTTATTTAATAGGGTAAGGGTGATTGACTGTGTATCTGCACTGGGAAGTGTTCATTCAGCAGGATAAGGGATACTCAGTGTGTATCTCTTGTTGGGTAATTATGTATTGAGCAAGGTATGAGATACAAAATCTGTAGGTACAAACGTGCTATTAAGTAAGTGATTATGTTATTGCTCTCTGTCTCTCTCTCTTTCTTTCTCTATTCCAGTGCTCTGATCATTTTCAGTAATCAAACTTATATCATTGAACATATTGAGGGCGATGAAGCAGGCCGACATGTTTCATACAGAACTGAAGATCTCTCTCGAGTACGGACCAGCTGTGGAATTAAACATTCCTTCCAGGAGTTAACCGTCACTGATCATTTTCATTCTCCACGAAGGGTAAGTGATAAACACAGCAGCTAACTGAGTGAAAGCAAGATATATCAATATTTTACCTTGCAAACATTCCTCCCAGTCAGCCCACATTGCCTCCAATTGATAAAAAGATTCCAATCACATTTGTTCACCATGTTCTAAAAATAAATCTACATGACTATATTTACTGCCCATCACTAACTGCCATGGTCAAGTTTTCATCTTCAGCTGTTTCAGTTCTTGCGCTTAAAGAACACCCAGACCGTTGTTGGGAAGGAGTTCCAGGATTTTTTTTCGTTGAAAAGGGAAAATCTCTGGACAAACTTTGTGTATCTTCACTGAGAGTCACCTTGCCATTTTAAATTATTTAAACTAAAGCTCTGAGCTTCGTTATCGATGGTAATACCTTGTCTGATGCCAGACCCAGTTGTTAACCAGCCAGCACTCTGTTTCTCATGCAGTACAAAGTGTTGTTCCCTTTGGAATTTTGTATTCTTGCATCTTGCATTTGGCCACAGGTGTGCTCCCAGAAGACTGGAGAATAGCCAATGTTGTCCCGTTGTTTAAGATCGGCAGAAGGATAATCCAGGAAATTACAGGCCTGTGAGTCTCACGTTGGTGGTAGAGAAATTCTTGGTAACGACTTTCAGGGACAAGATGCATATCCATTGAGAAGAAAATGGATTATTAGTGACAGACGGCATAGTTTTTTGTGGGGGAGGTCATGCCTCGCAAACTTGATCGAGTTGTTTGACGAGGTAGTGAAGATGATTGATGAGGGAAAGGCAGTTGATGTTGTCTACATTGACTTCAGTAAAGCCTTTGACAAGGCCCCTCATGGCAGACCGGTAAATAAGGTGAAGTTGCATGGTATCAGGGTGACCTGGCAAAATGGGTTCAGAACTGTCTCAGTCAAAGGAGACAGAGGGTAGCGGTGGAAGGATGCTTTTCGGAATGAAGGGTTGTGACTTTGTGGTGTTCCACAGGTATTTGTGCTGGGACCTCAGCTGTTTGTGTTCCACATAAATGATTTGGAGGAAAACGTGGCTGGTCTTTTGATGATGATCTTTGCACCCTCACTGAGCGCTGAAGTAGTACCAGAAGATTGGAGGGTGGCAAATGTCATTCCCTTGTTCAAGAAAGGGAACAGGGATAATCCTGGGAATTACAGACCGGTCAGTCTTACTTCTGTGGTGGGCAAATTATTGAGAAGATTCTGAAAGATAGTATTTATAATTATTTGGAAAAGCACAGTTTGATTAGAAATAGTCAGCATGGCTTTGTGAGGGGCAGGTCATGCCTCTCAAGCCTTACTGAATTAATTGAGGATGTGACAAAACAAGTTGATGAAGGCAGAGCAGTGGATATGGTGTATATGGATTTTAACAAGGCATTTGATAATATTCCGCATGGTAGGCTCATTCAGAAAGTAAGGAGGCATGGGATTCAGGGAAATTTGCCTGTCTGGATACAAAACTAGCTGTCCAATAGAAGACAGAGGGTGGTAGTAGATGGAAAGTATTCAGCCTGCAGCTCGGTGACCAGTGGTGTTCCACAGGGATCTGTTCTGGGACGTCTGCTCTTTGTGATCTTTATAAATGACTTGGATGAGGAAGTGTAAGGGTGGCTTAGTAAGTTTGCAGATGACACAAAGGTTGGTGGAGTTGTAGATAGTGTGGAGGGCTGTTGTAGGTTGCAACGGGACATTGACAGGATGCAGAGCTGGGCAAAGAAGTGGCAGATGGAATTCAACCCAGAAAAGTGTGAAGTGATTCATTTTGGAAGGTTGAATTTGAATGCAGAATACAGGGTTAATGGCTGGATTCTTGGCACTGTGGAGGAACAGAGGGATGTTGGGGTCCACGTCCATAGATCCCTCAAAGTTGCAACCCATGTTGATAGGGTTGTAAAGAAGGCGTATGGTGTGTTGGCTTTCATTGGCAGGGGAATTGAGTTTAAGAGCCGTGAGGTTATGCTGCAGTTCTAAAAACGCTGGTTAGATCACACTTGGAATATTGTATTCAGTTCTGGTCGCCTCATTATAGAAAGGATGTGGAAGCTTTAGAGAGGGTGCAGAGGAGAATTACCAGGATGCTGCCTGGACTGGAGGGCAGGTCTCATGAGGAAAGGTTGAGGGAGCTGGGGCTTTTCTCATTGGAGCGAAGAAGGATGAGGGGTGACTTGATAGAGGTGTACAAGATGATAAGAGGCATAGATAGAGTGGATAGCCAGAGACTTTTTCCCAGGGCGGAAATGACTATTACGAGGGAGCATAATTTTAAGGTGATTGGAGGAAGGTATAGGGGAGATGTCAGAGGTAGGTTCTTCACACAGAGAGTGGTGGGTGGGTGGAATGTGCTGCCGGCAGTGGTAGTGGAGTCAGATACTTTAGAGACTTTTAAGCGACTCTTGGATAGGCACATGGAGGATATGCAGGGTAGTTTGGTCTAAGTCAGATAATAGGTCAGCACAACATCGTGGGCTGAAGGGTCTGTACTGTGCTGTACTGTTCTATGTTCAATGTTCTAATTAGTAAGTTTGTGGATGATACAAAGATTGATGGAATTGCAGGTAGAGAAGAGGATTGTCAGAGGATACAGAGGATATGGATCAGTTGGGGCATGGGCAGAAAAATGGCAAATGAATTTTAATCTGGATAAATATGAGGTGGTGCATTTTGGAAGATCAAGTACAGGTGGAAATTATATAGTGAATGGCAGAATCCTTAGGAGTATTGATAAGCAGAGGGATCTGGGTGTGTAAGTCCCCAGATCACTGAAGGTGTCAGCACAGGTAGATAAAGTAGTACAAAAGGCCTATGGTATGTTTGCCTTCATTGGAAGGGGCATTAAGTATAAGGATAGGCAAGTTATGCTGCATCTTTATAGAACTTTAGTTAGGCCACACTTGCAATATTGCGTATGGTTCTGGTCACCACACTACCGAAAGGATATGGAGATAGTATTGAAAAGGTTTACCAGGATGTTGCCTGGTATGGCTACAGGTTAAACATGGGCAAGGAAACCTCTTCCTGATTACCATGTACTGTCCTCCCGCAGCTGATGAATCAGTAGAGACATCATAACAATTTATCACGCACGCACGCACGCGCACACACACGCACGCACACACGCACGCACACACACACACACACACACATACCAATCATTTGTGTTTATTGGCAATACATTCCTTTTTGTTCACAATGTGGGTAGGTGATGGTCTAGTAGTACTATCACACGACTATTAATCCAGAAACCCAGCTGATGTTCTGGGGACTCAGGTTCGAATCCCACCAGGGCAAATGGTGGAATTTGAATTCAATATTTAAAATAAAAGTCTGGAATTAAGATTCTACTGAACACCATGAAACCATTGCCGATTGTCGGAAAATCCCATCTGGTTCATTAATATCCTTCAGGGAGTGAAATGTGGAAGCATTGGAAAAAGTGCAGAGGAGATTTACCAGGATGTTGCCTGGAATGGAGGGAAGGTCTTACAAGGAAAGGTTGAGAGAGCTCGGGCTTTTCTCTTTAGAATGACGAAGGATGAGAGGCGACTTGATAGAGGTGTACAAAATGATCAGAGGTATAGATAGAGTGGACAGCCAGAGACATTTTCCGAGGGTGGAGGTAGTTATTACGAGGGGACATAGTTTTAAAGTGAGTGGAGGTAGATATAGGGGAGACGTCAGAGGTAGGTTCTTTACTCAGAGAGTGGTAGGGGCGTGGAATGCATTGCCGGAGAGGGTAGTGGAGTCGGCCTCATTAGGGGCATTTAAGCGGCTATTAGATAGGCATATGGATGATAGTATAAGGTAGGGGTGGAGGTTAGATTGACTTTAGGTTGAGGGCAAAAGTTCGGCACAACATCATTGGCGGAGGGCCTGTACTGTTCTATGTTCTATGTTCTATGAAATCTGCCACCCTCATCTGGTCTGGCCTACATGTGACTCCAGACCCACAGCAATGTAGTTGACTCTCAATTGCCCTCAGAAATGGCTTAGCAAGCCACTCAGTTTTACTAATCACTACAAAGTCTCAAAGAAATGAAACTGGTTGGATCATCTGGCATTGTCGTAGGCACCGGAAAAGACAATGGCACAAACAGCCCGGTCGACCCTGCAAAGTCCTCCTCACTAACATCTGGGGGTTAGTGCCAAAATTGGGAGAGCTGTCTCACAGACTAGTCAAGCAACAGCCTGACACAGTCATACTCACAGAATCATACCTTACAGACAATGTCCCAGACACCACCATCACCGTTCCTGGATATGTCCTGTCCCACCGGCAGGACAGACCCAGCAGAGGGAGGGGCGGTACAGTGGGATACAGTCAGGAGGGTGTTGCTCTGGGAGACCTCAACATTGACTCCAGACCCTGTGAAGTCTCATGGCTACACGTTAAACATGGGCAAGAAAACCCCCTGCTGATTGGAGTGGCATGGTGGCTCAGTGGTTAGCACTGCTGCCTCACAGCACCAGGGACCTAGGTTCAGTGCCACCCTCGGGCGACTGTCTGCGTGGAGTTCGCACATTCTCCCCGTGTCTGCGTGGGTTTCCTCCGGGTGCTCCAGTTTCCTCCCACAGTCCAAAGATGTGCAGGCTAGGTGTATTGGCCATGCTAAATTGCCCGTAGTGTTCAGGGATGTGTAGCTTAGGTGGGTTATAGGGGAATGGGTCTGGATGGGATGCTCCAAGGGTCGGTGTGGACTTGTCGGGCCGAAGGGCCTGTTTCCACACTGTAGGGATTCTATGATTCTATGATTACCACACACTTTCCTCCCTCAGCTGATGAATCAGTACTCCTCAATGTTGAACAACACTTAAAGGAATCACTGAGGATGGCAAGGGCACAAAGTGTACTCTGGGTGGGGGATTTCAATGTCCACTACCAAGAGTGGCTCGGTGTCAGTATTACTGATCGAGCTGGTCGGGTCCTAAAGGACAGAGCTGCGACACTGGGTCTGCAGCAGGTGGTGAGGGAACCAACAAGAGGGAAAAACTTACTTAACCCCATCCTTAC